ATTCTAGGTCATGTGTTCAGTCTCAGAAAATTTTTTACTTGAATTGGCAAGTTCACCAAAAACATGCCTCCTGAAACATCTCACCACCAATGCTGCTCATTTGCCTGCTTGACTGGCTTTTCTATCATTCCTATTCATGAGTGTCCTCGTTTATAGGAGCGGGAAAGAAGTCCTTCTCTATTACCCAAGAGTATTTCAGCCACCTGTGCAAGTAGGCAGGTGGTCTGAGAAGTTCAATCCCAACCCATCTCTTCTATTTATTTGGTTTATTAAAGAGCTGAAAGGTTTGGAATCTCTCATTTCATTGTAAAATTCATTTCTCTGCATGAACAATTCAACATAAATTAAATACAGGTTTCAGACCCTGTAATATAATTCTGCTTGTTCCCTGAAATTAACTCTTTTTATTTAAAGAGCAAAAACTGGCATTACACACAAGGAGACGTTCATCAAAAATGGCAATGTATGAATACTGGGGGTTTTGTTGTTTGTTTGTGTTTTTTTAATACATATTAGACAATGCTGGCACTGTACCATTATAAATTATAAATCTACAGAATTTACAAAGATCAGGGAGCTTTCAGAAGAAACTAGATTAAATTCTTAAGACAAAATATATTTCATAAATGTTTTAAGAGATGGTTAGATCAAGAACCAGAGGATGAGAAGAAGCCAGAAAGCAAAGAGCAGACACAATGTAAAGATTAAGTTATAATATTTTATGTTCAGCAGTGAATACTCTATGCTAACGTATACGTGAAATTTGTCCAGTATTTTGAGGCCCATGATCATTTTTTATGCAGAAGAGATTCCTCATTTGATCTGTTTTTTTTCTGATGCTAGATAAACCCATTTCAAGGTTAAGAATTACCAAGAGAATTTGCTAATTTGTTTTTCCCCACCACTCCCAAGATGATCAGTCTAAAACATACACATATCTGCTTTCCACTTTTTTTCCAATATTTCTAAACTGTGAGTTCATATAGGTATAAAAGCAGATAATTGTAGTTGCAGCTGCTAGGATATAAAACTAAAGTTCAAAGAACTGGAAAATAAAATTCCACTAGAAGAAAAAATGAAAGAAAGTCAAACGGTTGGTCAAGAGAGATGCTCAGTACTTGTGTCTTTATAGCCCTGGGTAATTGAAATAAAGGTAATTTTTCCAAGGAACTTTTGTGACTTTTCTGATAATGTTTGGTTCAATGTCCTGTTGAGCTCAAGAAGGGTCAAAAAATAAACAGAATAACTATCCAACCTCTACAAAATAATTTTAGATTGGTTATTCTTCTTTAAAATATTGATAATAAGAGTCATAATAACATCACAGAATAGGCCCATAGGGCTGTTGAGGACATAACTTCTTCTTTTGCAAGATGAAAGCAAATGTTTAAATCTACTTTTGCCATGCACATGCAGAAGTTTTACGTCTACTACTATTGAAAATCATGTCCCCTCAAAGAGAGTAAAAAACAGGAGAAATTAAATAAACTAGAATCATATTTGGTTCTGATGAGTGGGATGTGATTTAATTTACCCAGAAATGTTAGCAATATGGATGGGTAATTTCCAGATGATAGAAATAGATTTGTGTAAGAGATGACCAGAGAACATAATGGAGCTGTAAATAATAGACTCTTTATATGTAATGGATTTCAGCCTCAAAGATCCCAGCTCTCTAATTTATCTGAGATTAAGGAGAGACATTAATAACCACTAAGATTATGAAATGCTTCAAAGAGTGACAGGAATGAGACACAAATATATTTTCAAGTTATTTTTACAAAAAATTAGTATCCCCAGGTGCAAATTATTTGAATTCTGCCATTTAGAAGCCTCATATATTTGTTTTCCCAATTGTTTTTTTATTTCTCATGCAATGAAACTTACTGAATTAAATCTCCCATGTAATAAAAACATAAAACCCAAATAAACTCAAACCTTATTATTGAATTGTAATAATAATTCTTTAATTTTCAACTAACTTTGCAAATAGACATCTATACCTGCAAATACTGAAGTTGCTAAGCCACTGGACATCATATTTGAAAAAAACATGGCAGTCATGTGAAGTTCCCAATGACTGGAAAAAGGGTAATATAACCCCCATTTTCAAGAAGGGGGAAATGGATGACCCAGGGAACTACAGACCAGTCAGTCTCACCTCTGTGCCTGGCAAAATCTTGGAGCAGATTCTCCTGGAAGGCATGCTAAGGCACATGAAAGACAGCAAGGTGCTTGGTGACAGCCAGCATGGCTTCACTAAGGGGAAATCCTGCCTGACCAATTTGGTGGCCTTCTATGATGGGGCTATGGAACTGAGGGACAGGGGTAGAGCAGTTGATATCATCTACCTAGACTTGTGCAAAGCGTTCGACACTGTCCCACATTACATCCTTCTCTCTGAACTGGAGAGACATCAATTTGATAGGTGGACCACTCAGTGAATAAAGAACTGGCTAGATGGCCACATGTAAAGAGTTGTGGTCAGTGGCTCAATGTCCAGCTGGAGACCAGTGATGAGTGGTGTTCCTCAGGGATCGGTGTTGGGACCAGTCTTGTTCGACATCTTCGTTGCTGACATGGACAATGGGATTGAGTGCGCCCTCAGCAAGTTTGCTGATGACACCAAGCTGTGTGGTTTGGTTGATACGCTGGAGGGAAGGAATGCCATCCAGAGGGACCTTGATATTCTTGTAAGGTGGGCTGATGACAATCTCATGAAGTTTAACCATGACAAGTGCAAGGTCCTACACCTGAGTCAGAGCAATCCCAGCAGAGCTACATGTTGGGCAGAGAAGAGATTCAGAGCAGCCCTGTGGAGAAGGACTTGGGGGTGTTGGTTCATGAGAAACTGAACATGAACTGGCAGTGTGCACTTGCAGCCCAGAAAGCCAACCGTATCCTGGGCTCCATCAAAAGGAGTGTGACCATCAGGCTGAAGGAGGTGATCCTGCCCTTTTACTCTGCTCTCGTGAGACCTCACCTGGAGTATTGTGTGCATTTCTGGTGTCCTCAACATAAAAAGGACATGGAACTGTTGGAACAAGTGCAGAGGAGGGCCATGAGGATGATCAGGGGACTGGAGCACCTCCCATATGAAAACAGGCTGAGAAAGCTGAGGCTGTTCAGTCTGGAGAAGGGAAGGCTACGTGGAGACCTCATAGCAGCCTTTCAGTATCTGAAGGGGGCTGATAATGATGCTGGGGAGGGACTCTTCATTAGGGACTGTAGTGAGAGGACAAAAGGTAATGGGTTAAAACTAAAAAGGGGGAAGTTTAGGTTGGATATAAGGAGGAAATTCTTTCCTGTTAGGGTGGTGAGGCACTGGAATGGGTTGCCCAGGGAAGTTGTGAATGCTCCATCCCTGGCAGTGTTCAAGGCCAAGCTGGACAGAGCCTTGGGTGGCATGGTTTAGTGTGAGCTGACCCTGACCTTGGCAAGGGGGTTGGAGTTAGTTGATTTTAAGGTCCTTTCCAACCCTATCTATTCTATGATTCTATGAAATACAGTTTTCAACATTCAAAACTGGGGGGTGGGGGTTTGACATAAAGGAGTGCATTTTGTATTTTCCATTATAAATTAGTAACAGTTGTTTACAACCCAAATTGTCCAAATTTTAGATTTGGATTGTTTTTGTGCTTTCCTGTTCTGAAGCATTGATGAGAAATCATAAAGTAGTCTCCTTTGTATAGAATTCATTACCTGTTTCGGAAAGCTGAAGAATCCTGAAATACTTTGTACAGAAAGTATTTCTAGGAATGCCATGCTCATTAGAGAGTTCCGGGAAGAGACAGATGCAAATATTTACATTTGTGTTCACAACTGAATTTAGCTTGTTTGGACACACAAATCATATTTATGACTGAAGCATCTCACAACGGGAACGGTTTTGTGACAATGGGTCAAATTTCAGTGCAATACAAATCAAATAGCACAAGGCTTTAAAGTGCATTTGTTTCTCGACTTTTCTCACAAAGTGTTTCATACCTGGAAGGTTTGCTTACTATCTCTTCTTTTCAGAACAGACTCCCAGTATTTTCCCTGACTGTCTCAGTTACTCCTGCTATTTCTTGGTTGAAATTTCTGTTATTTCTGTCACAATTCTTAATGATGCATATTTTTTTTTTTTTTTAAGACACCACTTTAACTGCTTTGCATTCACCCTGTAGGTAAACTCATCTGAACACACAGCTAGGATTGACACCCAATGACACAATGGAACATGTTTTGAGTAGCTGGGTGAAACTTCTGCCTTGCCTTGCTTTTTCCTTAGTCACCTTTAAATCTAGTTAATATGCAATTATATCTACATTTGGCATTTACTTAAAAGCAAACCCAGGAATATTCCATTTGTAAGGTGTTGGCCTTACAGAAATTTAGGAGATTTAGATGATCAAATTGATTATTTTGTGGCAACATTTTTAATCACATGGTGTGGCATATGCTCTTGGGCTATTTGCATGAGTGGTCTTCTTTCCCCTTGTCGTGGTTTAAACCCAGCTGTAAATCAGAACCACGCAGTCTCTGTCTCACTCTCCACCTTCCCTCCTCCCTTTCTCCTGAAGGGATGGGGAGGAGAATTGAAAGAATGCAACTCCCACGGGTTGAGATAAGAACAGTACAGTAACTAAGGTATAACACAAGTCACTACTGCTACTGCCAATAATAATAATGATAAGGGAAATAACAAAGGAAGAGAACACAACTGCTCACCGCCTGCTGACTGATACCTAGCTCAACCGAGTAGTGATCTAGCCCTTCCGGGTAACTGCCACCAGTTCTACATCCTGGGCATGCTGTGCTGTGGTATGGAATACCTCTTTGGCTAATTTGGGTCAGGTGTCCTGTCTCTGTTTCCTCCCAGCTTCCCCTCCTCCCTGGCAGAGCATGAGACTCAGAAAGGCCTTGGTCAGTGTAAACATGACTTAGCAACAACAGAAAACATCAGCGTTATCAGTGCTGTTCCCAGGCTGAAAGTCAAAACAGCACTGCAGCAGCTACTAAGAAGGACAAAAATGACTTCGACTGCTGAACCCAGGACAGTATCCACCCCTTATTCCATACCATTCACGTCATCTTCAGATCACACATTTTCAATATACCATCACTCTTATCTCATATATGTACATATATGTTTATTCATCCACATAGAGAGAGAGATTGAGAGAGTTTATTCCTTAGTGCATGGACCAATCCCTATTAATCTGCTGAGTCCATTCAGTCCATGATGTCGGGCTTCATCTCTTGTAAAAGTCTTTCAGATCAGTAGATGCTGTGTGCAGTGTTGGATCATTGCCTGCTGATGCTGATTGTTCCTTTACCGCAGAACTTGTCTGGTTTCATCAAATTTCATTCTTTGTTGGGATGGTGGTCGGAGGGAAGTCAGGGCCAATTCCTGGTGACCTGAAGACATCTAGTTGGTGGTCTATAGAAGTGCTACATAGCAGGCAATAGCATACAATTGAGTTCATTGGCTGTTTTCCTCTAAAGTCAAATCCCCTTGAGGTATATATTGGACTTCCCCATCTTGCCGCATTACCCACCAAGTATATCCAGGTCCCTGAGCAAAAGCAATCCCACGAGTGGGTTTGCCTTTACCTGAAGCAGGAATAATCCAGACTGTCTTCCCCAGCAAATTCTTTATGTGCACCACAGGGACTTTGTCCCCCTCTACAATATGTAAAAGTTCTGACTGGGCTGGGCCAGCCCTGTTGGCAGATCCTCTGGTGTTGACCAACCAGGTGGCCTTTGGTAAGTGTGTATCCCAATCTTTGAAAGTCCCACTACCCATTGCTCTCAGTGTAGTTTTTAACAGTCCATTGTACTGTTAGATTTTCCCAGAGGCTAGTGCATGGTAGGGGATATGATATACCCACTCAATGCCATGCTCTTTGGCCCAGATGGCTATAAGACTGCTCTGGAAATGAGTCCCATTGTCTGACTCAATTCTGTCTGGGGTGCCATGTCACCACAAAATCTGTTTCTCAATGCCCAGGATAGACTTCAACCTCCAGTACAGTCAACTCTTGGGATCCTCCTGTCACTCCAGAAATATAGATGGGTCCCACCCCTTTACAGCTTGATGGTGTCAGGGTACACAGTGCACGGGTATCTACTAGAGCCTTATACTTTTGTGGGACTGATGTGCCAGGCCATCTGATCTACAAAGTCCAGTAAATCAGACTGTCCCTCACCTCCACCTGGCTGGAGGCAAGGACCCTCTAATAGTCATCACATTGGTCACTTACTGTCTTGTTGACAGGGATTAATCTTTATTGCAGGAGCTGAAGTAAAATCAGCTCTTCCACTCCATCTGGGAACCTGCTCACCAGAGACTGAAGTTGCACCTTTCATGGGATTATCAGGCTTGACCCTTGTTTTCCTCTTCAATTCATGCACCCATTCCTCCAAAGCTGAAGTAGGTTTTCCATCCCACTTCATCATGTCTTCTCTGTGATCCTGCAGGTAAAACTATAGGGTGGCCCATGGCGTATACCTTCTATGTCTTCTCTCTTGAGCAGTAGGACACCTTTTGTTAATAACTGAGACATGGTTTGGTACATGTGAGGAGCTGGATAGATCAGATAGGTCATCTCTCAATTGTTTGAACTCCTGGGACAGTTTTTCCACAGCTGAGATGATGGAAGGGGTGAGATTGTCTTCGAACTCTCGGAGTTTATGAGCTATTTCATCCACTGTTGGCGGTACTACGTCATTCCAGGTTACTGTTGCCAATGAATGAGCCTATGATGACGGTGCATTCCGTGTATATTTCTGCCACATGGGTCGTGTACATTCAACTTCATCTGGATCTATGGGTGTATCCCTGTTATTCGGCTTGATGTGATAGATCTTCTCTACAATGGCTGATTCCCACAGAGACTGGATGCCTTTGTCTATAGTAGTCCACTTGGCCGAACGACTCATAACATCATCCTTGTATGGAAACCTTTCTTTCACAGCTGCCAAGAGCCGCCTCCAAAGGCTGAGGGACTTTTTCTTTCTTGCAATTGCTTTGTCAATTCCCCCTTCTCTAGCAAGTGATCCCAGCTGCTTGGCTTCTGTACCTTCTAGTTCGTGACCATTGGCCCCATTGTCCCAGCATCGGAGTAACCAGGTGATGATGTGCTCCCCTGGTTGACAGGTAAAATCTTTTCGCATATTCTGTAGCTCAGTTGAGGTCCAAGGTCAAGAAGTCACGTCTTCTTCTTCTTCTTCTTCTTCGTCATGTGATGATGACTCCTGATCAGATGTTGTCCCAGGTAGAAAGTGCATTGCCATTGTTTCTGCATCTTGTTTTTTTGTTTTTTTGTTTTTTTGCTTTTCACCTTGCTTAAAGGAGCAACGATATTGCCATGAATTGGTCCTCTGGTTTAGCTGCAGTATCTGTTAGGGTTTGGGTAGCTTCTGTACTTGTTGCTGGGTTTTGAGTAGCTGCTGTACTTGTTGCTGGGTTTTGAGTAGCTGCTGTACTTGTTGCTGGGGCTGGTGTAGCTGCTGTTCTTGGAGTTGGAGTAGCTGTGCTGTCAGTTGTGGTAGAAGTTTGAGTAGCTGCTGTACTTGTTCCTGGGGTTGGTGCAGCTGCTGTACTTGGAGTTGGAGTAGCTGTGCTGCCATCAGATCCAGGGACATTTTTTTCCTTTTGAAGGTGCTGGATAGTGTTGAACAAGGCCCTGTAAGCATAGGCCAAGCCCCAGCACGTTGCCCTGATTTTTCCCTCTCTGGTATGACCAGGATGACAACACACCTCATTTAAGTGTTTTACTAATTCTTCTGGATTTTGCACTTGTTCAGTAGTGAGATTCCAAAACACTGGAGGGGCCCACTGGCCTAGATACTTGCCCATGCTATCCCACACACCATGCCACTCATAACTGTCCAGCCTCGGGAAAAATATCCTGGTCCCCCTATATCATTGTCTAACCCTAGACAAGGCCCAAACCCGACACTGCTCAGCTCTTGATATCAGACAAAATGGTCTTGGATAAAACACGCTCTATATGCGTGCCAGCATGGTGATCCCCGTCACAATCAGCAGGCAGGTCTCAAGGGTACCTAAGGGACATTCAAGACCGTCAGAACTCTCAAATGATGCTGTAAATGGTCTGGTGGGGGGGGGCTGGGAGAGTGAGGGAATGTCTCCTTCATGGGTTGACCACCTGAGGAGAAAAAAGATGTGTGTTAAACACTTCCATTTTATACCTCCCAAAGTATAGAGGTGGTGACCACACTGAAAAAACAAGCCAGATTGCTTTGATGATCAATGATTCTATTGTATTACAAGTCATCACCATAAAATACAATGAAACAAAAACCTTAGCCCAAGGACCCCAGCCAATAAACACTAACAGCAAACACCGGCTGTAAGTAAGGTACAATATGCTGAAACTGTGAGATCAACAGCAACAGCTTTGAGAGCAAATTAATCAGCATTGTGATGAGTGACTATTAATCCAAAACAATAAATGCTTATTACAAATACGATTAGACACACTCTGGTCAGATCTGTCATTATCTCAACACTTCGTGCCCCACGTTGAGTGCCAAAAAGAATTGTCGTGGTTTAAGCCCAGGCCATAAAACAGAACCACGCGGCCTCTGTCTCACTCCATCCCTTCCCTCCTCACCCACTCCTGGATGGATGGGGAGGATAATCAAAAGAATGTAACTCCCACAGGCTGAGATGAGAACAGTCCAGTAACTAAGGCATAACACAAAACCACTACTGCTACCACCAACAATAATAATGATAAGGGAGATAACAGGGGAAAAGAATACAACTGCTCACCACTCGCCGACAGACACCCAGCCTGACCGAGTAGTGATCTAGCCCTTCTGAGTAACTGCCCCTGGTTCTACACCCTGGGCATGATGTGCTGTGGTATGGAATACCTCTTTGGCTAGTTTGGGTCAGGTGTCCTGTCTCTGCTTCCTCCCAGCTTCCCCTCCTCCCTGGCAGAGCATGAGACTCAGAAAGTCCTTGGTCAGCATAAACATGACTTAGCAACAACTAAAAACATCGGTGTTATCAGTGCTGTTCCCAGGCTGAAAATCAAAAACACAGCACTGCTCCAGCTAGTAAGAAGGAGAAAAATGACTGCTACTGCTGAACCCAGGACACCCTATATATATAGCTCACTGAGTCTGATTTTTCACTGACTGCAGGTCATATTTTCAAAGCCTGCATGAAATGTTTATGCTTGTTGAATTAATCACATCTGTGTTAGTTTGTGCTAATGAATTGACAAATAATTGCATACATTTTGTGACCATGCAACTCCTTGATTCTAATGACATTCAACCAGCCTAAGTGGAATTTGAGCCAGGTGACATAAATCCTCCATATTTGTCAGTTCTTGGAGTCACTGTATTATGAATCTGACTGTGTTTTTATGGATTTATTTGAAATAATGCTCGAGTTCCATAGCTATGTGAGAGCATGTAGTCTACACACAATTCATCCAAGAGCTAAAACTATCAGAAAGAGAATACTGAGTTGTTGTTTTTTTTTCTTTATTCCTTACCCTGTGCTCAGTAAATTACAATGTGCTAGATACATTGCATGGTGTAAAATGTGCTAATCATTGTTGCATGCTTTTTCCAAAGAGCGGGCATAGCATATGTTCCTTGCTAAGTTTAATGTGATAATGTTGCATTGCAAGTGAAGACAATTGACTGCATAAGTGCATTAAGCAAGTGTGGTGTGGTGAAGAATTTATATAGTATTTAATCAAGTTTGGAGAAGGTCTGGAATTCTGTCACATTTGAGTCAGTGAATTAGCACTGTTGTAGACAAATGGAAGTGATGTGGACTATTGTACAAGGGGGTTGTACAAGGGGGTTAGGTAAATTGTACAGGGGGGTTGTACAAGGAGGTATTGCTTAAGTTACATAGCTTGCTTAACAGATATATCGCTTAGCAAATACCTATCGTGCTTTACCAGGCAGTACCAGAACATAACCTCCTAATAAGGAAAACAGTTACTTAAGTTTCAGCAAAAACCATTTGGACATTGACCAGACTCATCCAGGCTCCTAAAGAGAATGCGTGAAGACCAAGGGTGAAAAGTTCAGGCCCCAGGAAGACTTGTTTACTTCATCTAAAGACCCCTGCCCACAACCCCCAGGAGGCACTGCGCATGAGCAGAAGACCTTTGAGCTCATTATAATACGAAGCGGGGATAGGACATAAATATGTATAGGCGTATTGTGTAACCTAATGCATTTGTAGTACTTTAGAGGATAAATGTAGAGGAAAACGACACTGAGGCGCGCATGCCTTTGGAGGAGTAATCCCCCATGCGTCTTCAGCTGAATAAGCGCATACCTACTTTACAACTTTAACGAGTTGTGGAGTCTATTCCGATATCAGAAGAAAATTAAGGAATGCCAAAGAGGAATTTGACACGACATGAATAAAAATACTGACTTGGAAAACATATATTTACCTTGACTTTCACAAAGAATTCAATAAAGGACCACAGAAGAT